CATTCATTTCCCTTGGCTTAGGGAGATATGAAGATTTGTTCACCCTCGAAAAGTCATATTATCTTGGGTGAACAAATCTTCATATTCCATTCTGAGGATCATATTCCCCTCTGAAATGTCGGGATTACTTCGTGCGACGTTACGCGCGGTTAATGTACATAACGTTTTGAACTTCTTATTCTTCTTAAAATAGCGATAGCAAAAATCATAATCATGTTCAAATTTATTTCAGACGATAAAACAAAAAGACTTATAACTAAATTTTGATCCTTACTGTTTATCAATGGGTATGTCGTGTTTAGTTTGACTTTCAAAAACAAGCGGATAAGAAAAAAAATGTATGCAAAATAATATTTAATGTATTGATAGTAAACAAAGCATAGGCAATGGAATAAAACATTCATTTCCCTTTGCCTCGGGAGATATGAAGATTTGCTCACCCTCGAAAAATCATATTTCCCTTGGGCAGAGCCCTCTTGAAATATGAATATTCTTGGGTGAACAAATCTTCATATCTCCCTCCGGCACGGGAAATAAATGTATAATATCCGCTTTTAAAATTTAACACGGCATAAACATTGATAAGCAATACCAATCAACAGTTAATCATTTATTCTATAAGTTCAATTTTTTCTCTATTTTGTTTTACATTTGAAATAGTTTTGAACACAATAATGACTATACTATCTCTATCTTATAAACGTTTAAAACGTTATGTACATCTAGCGCGTGTTATGGTCCAGACATTTCGGGAATATGAAGTTTTGTTCAATGTCACGTGGGATCGTCTAAACCAATCAGATGTTGATTTCGCTATCAATATTTACATACAGTGGAATAAAAGCTTTTGTTTTTCCCTTTTGTTAAGTTTTGTTCTTGCAACGTATCGTTATGGAATATCTGTTTCACAGATGACGACGGATATGTTCCAATTGTCGTAACCACAATCCCGTCCTCTTTTCCTCGAATATGACATACCGAATTAGACATCACCGGATTTACATGAGCAACACGACGGGTACCGCATGTGGAGAAGAATCTGCTTACCCTTCCGGACCACCTGAGATTATACCCGGTTTTTGGTGGGGTTTGTATTGCTCAGTCTTTAGTTTTTCTAATTTGTGTCCTGTAAACTGTTTTTTTGCCTTTTGGGTCGTTTTTCGTTTTTTTTTTTTGCCATGGTGTTGTCATTTGTTCATCGAAATGAGTTTGAACATCCCTTTGGTATCTTTCGCCTCTCTTTTACACGTTTGAATAAACTGGATAGTTCGTTCCTTTTCACATTTTTATAAATGCTTCATACTATAATAATGATCTTATCAATTCATCGGAGCCGTTTAAACTTATTTAAATTTAAGGTACACATGAACCAATATCTCTCATATTTGTATCCAAGATCAGGCGTATTTTTTCCTACACTAGTGGTTATACTGAAACCTCACAACACACATTATTTTGTTTGAATCGTTGCATAGTACTTAAAAAAATGTTTTACTTAAACAACGAACAGATATCGAACAAACTTCTCAAAGGGAATCCAGACAATACAAGAACAAGGCAAACCAAAAGAAAAAAAACAGGCATACGAACGTAAAACTTTGGGTAATACAAACTCAATTAAAAACTGATGTTTCAGGCGTTCCACAAGGGTAAGCATCCATCAAATTGGTCAGTGTTTTAAACCGACTATTGACTATTTACTGAAGGGCATATTCGTACAAGAGAATATTCTGCGCTGAGAAAAATGTCTAGGAACATTTGTGATACATTCACCTAATAAAGTCAGATCGACTTATTTGAAATGGCTACAAAAAACGTTTATAATGATTCAAATAGTTTATGCTTAATATTATATTGAATGAGCAGATTATGTTGACAGTGATTATCTCTAGAGGTCTATATTTGATACAAGCTGTAGTATAATTTGCTCTATGTATGCACATGAGATTTTGGTATATGTGTTACATAAGAAATTGAAATCTTCGCGTTTTCCACTAGAAATAAAGCTGCATATATGCTGATATCTATTAATAGATGCATGCCATTGTATTGAGCGGACTTTTTTGTATTAATCATTGACATATATGGTATTTTCTTATTTTGAATTGATATTGAGTTAAGTGCATTTGTAGTTTCCTTTCTTATTGGAAGTACATCGCCGATATCATGCACAATGCATTTCAACTAAGTCTCCTGTTGGTAGTTGCATTAGTTGACTACTCGACACCAAAGTGACAAAACTGCTGACAAAGATAGTTAACTTCAACGGTTGAGCATTTATCAAGACAATATTTTTAGTATATCTTTACAGGGTCAAGAGAGAAAAACCAAATCTCCTGTTGTTTCTATATTGGTTGCTAAAATAAAAGTTCTGGCAATATCACAAGGAACCTGTCTGACTTAATAAGACTGTGATATCCCACATTTTGATTCATTTGCTTGTACAGTTCCAAAGAGGAAGATTTTTTTTTATATTTCTTATAAAATGTAATTTACACATCGTATCCAACAGGCAGTAAATTTGATTGGTTTATCGCAGGCAATGTAACAACTTATATATAATAACTTTAATATCTAAGAATAATATTTTTCTATGGGTTAAAAAGTTCTCAGAAATGTTTTTCTAAATATTTTACATGAGGTCTTAACAGAAGTCCCTAAAAGCTGGCAGCCTCAATACTGTTTTACCAATCAGCAACAAATTGACACTTATCATTCAGTGTCCCGCAAGAATGTTTTATTTCAATTAGTCGTGCAGTTTTCATGCAAAATTATTAATTATGATGCTATTTGAAATTCCTCTGTTGGTGTTTATATTGACTGGATTATCAACAGCAATAACACTCCCCTTCAATATTTCACATATGATATGATTAGTATACTGCGGAAAGCAGTTCATTTTATTGCTTAAACGTTTAAATTTCTATTTTGACATTTTTCAGTTGGTGGTTTTTATTTTTAAATATTGGAACTTAATGTGTTGCATCGTATATTGCTTCAGGTCAGAATCATGTGACTAGAATTTAAATTGTTTTAGGCTTCTCTGACCTTGTTTTGGTATTTTGTAGTTTAAACTGTATCTAATCAGAAATCTGTCAATCCAAAACACTAATATAAATCCTTCCTGCCACTAAACCGGTTGAATCAAGTGTATTTGACATGTTAATTATTTTGTGTTTTAAGTTGTTAACTATTTAAGATGCATTTTTTACAATTTTCTGCACAAGATACTTTAGGAAAATTTTTGTATCATTCTATTATCTGGACACATTGACATCTTCGTTTTTTGGCTTCGTAATCTAAATTGAAATTACACTATTGAAAAAAGCAAATATCACGAGACTTCATATTTAAATCGCCCTATCAAATCCAATGAAGCACAGAATAACAATTCTACAATTGTTGTCCATATTTCTAGGATGCCATGGGGATACTTGTATATCTGAGAGGAGCAATTCATTTTAAAGTTTTAGCTAGCTATAAAAGCAGGTTTAACCCGCCATTTTCTACATAAGGAAATGCCTGTACCAAGTCAGGAATATGACAATTGTTTTCCATTCGTTTGATGTGTTTTAGCTTTTGATTTTGCAATTTGATAAAGGACTTTCCGTTTTGAATTTTCCTTGGAGTTCGGTATTTTTATCAATTCACTTTTTACCATCTCCGTACATGATGCCCCGCCCCTAAATCATGCTTTAATCGGTTTACTTGTTTACACAGTTTTCTGATTTGATGATTTTAATAGAAATTACGTATACCAGACCATTCTTGTTGCATCTCCTTAGTCATGGTTCATATATTAACAGTCTTCTGACCAGCTTATAATAAATTCTCTTAGGAAACACTAGAAAAGTAATATCCATTTCCGAATTACAAGCAAGGCTAATCTCTATAACCATCTTTTTTTATTCTGAAAACACACTCCTCTATTGTTAATAAAGATCAAGCACTCCACTGTTCAACTATACTTAAAACTTTAAATCCAATCTTCTTTAAAGCAGTAAATTACCACGAATCTGTGTGGGAAACCTATTTAATTAAGTAAAATTTATCAATATGATTAAAAAGGCTATGATAAATAATAAACGCTTTTACAGCTTTTAACAGTCATCCCGACATTTGTTACATGCTAGAAACAAATCATCTAAAATCCGATAATGTCAGCGTTTTTTCGATGTTGTTGAAGAAAGGCTATATTTTGAATCATCTCGAACTCCATAAACAATATGTATGAACACATGAATTCATCTTCTATATATTTCTATGACTATGCTAATAGATTGCTAGTTCATTAGTATACCTGACGCTGAAGAGGCAAAGTAACAAAATAAGCCACCGATAAATGATATGACAAAGAAACACACACACAAGCTACGTGTAGAAACATTTGACATATAATTTAATATTGACGGGCATAATTTCATAGACAATTTTTAATATATGAAAACATTCAAATTTAAAACACACTAAAAAACTATAATATTCATTTAAACAAACATATCTTCCAACAATTTTATTGAAAGATATTCAATTTTTGTTCATTGCGGAAATTCCATTCTAAATATTGTAAACACTTATGTGATTTTCCACTTTTTGTCATACCCTGTGTATGCTTATCATTTATTTTACTTCATACAGTTTCGATATATTAAAATGAAAAATGTAAAAAGCTTGAAATCGATTTTAACATTATCAATTTAATATAGTCATGTCGTCAAACAGTAAATTTTGACAAATATTCAATCATATTTGGTTAATGCGTTTGATTTACTTAATTTCATTTCAGATTTCTTGTAGAATGAGAGCATCGAATTTAGGAATCGTTTTATGATTATGGAGAAAGCATTTTGATAATGATTCAGCAAACAAAGTGATTGATAATAGAAATCCGTCAGGCCAACAACTAATATACAACCTAAATGAATTATTCCCCAGTTGTATTTCTACAAGATCGAGTAAAAGTTGACATAGAGTAATTAACCGGTTAAGAATGAGGCAGATCCATTCTGATATAGTTACGCTTGACCCGGTTGCCTTACAATGAGTTTGATGGGAGAAATGGTTGGTATCTCTGAAGCTACAGCTAACTTATCTAATGACTCACCTCAGAATTCATTCTCTGCTAATATTCCACCTGGATATTCTCTACCACATACAATCTTGATTGCTATACTTGTCAGCATATTTATGATAATAATCGTTTTTGGAAACTTACTTGTAGTTGTTGCCATTGCAACAGATAGACAACTGAAGACAATTCAGAACTGGTTCATAGCATCATTAGCAGTTGCTGATTTATCACTTGGCTTGGTAATCATGCCGTTTTCTCTGGCAAATGAACTCATGCGGTATTGGTATTTTGGACCAGTTTGGTGTGACCTGTGGAAAGCTATTGATGTGTTGTTGTGTACTGCTTCGATTCTAAGTATATGCTTAATAAGTTTAGATAGGTACTGGTCTATTACACGCGCCCTCCAGTATTCCAGACAAAGAACACCAAAGAGGGCAGCTTTAATGATAACTGCCGTCTGGGTGTTGTCGGCAATAGTATGTGTGCCACCATTGATAGGGTGGAAAAATCCACTTCCAGCCTCTGAATATCCGCTGTGCTTACTGAGTTCTGAAATAGGATATGTTATATCATCATGTATGGGTTCGTTTTATATTCCAGCAGTGATTATGGTCTTTGTTTACTTTAAAATTTACCAAGCTGCAAAGCAACGAGCTCGACGTGGGCGTAGGAATAAAACTGCAAGAAAGGATGATCAGAATGCAAAACGGAGCGATAAGTCAAAATTGAATGACACGCCTTTGAAAGAAAATACGCTATATTGCGAAGAATCTGAAAGAAGATCTGTACCTTCAGAAGACGAGAGCACGTGGCCTGTATATCGCAAACAGTTGCAGCTTTCCAACAACACATCAAGTGTTAGTGTTGGAGTTGTTGAAGAAAGTACCTCACTACTCAATAAAACTAAAAGCACACAGAAGCGATCTGATCGTTTAACTGTTCCCGTTACTGGAATACCTCAACAAACAGACATTTGTGGTCACGAGGTAGTAATGGAACAGAAACAACTTTTACAAACCCCTACGTCTGCAAACATAGTGAAGGTAATAACTAATAATATAACTAAAACTATTGCTAGTACAGAAGATAGCTTTCTCTCATCATCAAGTGCCTATGATGAAGATGAATCACAGGAAAAAAGAAAACACTGCACAATAGGGACATATAATACTCCAGTTGTAAAAAACTCCATCAGCGAAATTCCAGATTTATATAACATTGAAAAACAAAAGCGGAAATTGTCTAAAGCTCGTGAAAGGCGAGCTACAATTGTACTCGGTCTTGTTATGGCTGCGTTCATATTTTGTTGGTTTCCTTTTTTCATTATATATATTGTGACATCCCTGTGTGATTTTTGTATACCGGAAATTATATTTACGATAGCTTTTTGGGCAGGATATTGTAACTCGGCGTTGAATCCAATTATCTACACCATATTTAATCAAGACTTCAGGAAATCTTTTCGTAAAATAATTTTTAGAAAAGCTCTGTTTAAAAGGTAAAATTACAAATAAGTTGTATCGTAAATCAGTTCGGAAATATCAATCTTGCTTTCGGAAATATAAATTATGGTAAGTAAATGTCGATGTTTTATGTACATTTCTTGACTGATCAATTTCAATCAACCTTTGTTCCGCCTGTTTAATTATATTGTCAGTTCCTAATGGTTTTATCAGAAACCGTGAATTGCCATGAATTTGTATGCACTGTTGAATTGACTGTGTCTTACTTTGATAAAATTATGTCACTGTGATGTTAATTAAACTATAATACTTCTGATTCTTGATTTAGATCTAACTGGTATCTTGATTTCAGGGTAGACAAACGTCGATTTAGAACGTGTTGATTTAGATCTAACTGGTATCTTGATTTCAGGGTAGACAAACGTCGATTTAGAACGTGTTGATTTAGATCTAACTGGTATCTTGATTTCAGGCTAGACAAACGTCGATTTAGAACGTGTTGATTTAGATCTAACTGGTATCTTGATTTCAGGGTAGACAAACGTCGATTTAGAACGTGTAGTGAGTACAAAAACTGTAGCTTTAAAAGAAAGTTATCTTAGTAAATGAAAATAACACTTTATAATTCATTGCGTCCGAATAGAAGCGCTTTTCCAGATTAACCTTCATCAAGAACGTTCAAAGTTAATATTTGAAAGCCAAGGATGTATAAGTACAGAAACAAGTGAAAGGTTATATGACCAAAAGGAATCCTGCAATCAAAGCCACATCAATCTATGGTCAACTTTGGCTTAGGGAGCTGGAACTTTAATTTCTTAATAATTTATAAATTGTAAACGGGCATTTTTAAAAAGGTAAGTTATAAATTATGTCAGTACCGAAGCATTGACTACTGAGCATATGATAACCTCGGAGACTTATTATAGTCCACCAGCAGCGGTATCAACCCAGCACTTTAATAAATGAAAATAACACTTTATAATTTTATTCGTCTGAAGCGCTTTTTCTTAATTTGCCAGACCTGATTAAACGTACAATTTAAGAAAGGTATGTAACAAATCATGCTCAAATCCTAATATTTGTAAGCCAAGGATGTACAAGTACCGAAACACGTGAAGCGCTATATGACCAAAAGTGACCTGAAAAGTATTTTCTGTTTTTGTAATGTGCATTAGCACATTTTCGTATGTTTTTATACTTTTTCCTAAAATAACCTTTAATATGGAACACAGAATGAAGGAAAATGTATACTCACGTCTATTCAAATGTAAAAACTTTACATTCATGGTCTAACAACACAAAGCTTATATTTATAGTTAACTGAAACCAAGTTGTGAGAATATATTAAAACATATTAGTTTAAAGTCGGTAGCGTATACACTTATTGAAAATATATAAAAAATCTAGATTATCAAAACCATAGAGTCATACTATTACTAGTATATGCACAAACTAAATATTAATAATGAGGGGCTGGACAGGGGGGTAAGTTTCTCCCTGCTCCCACCCCTCTTCTCCCTTCTCCCGCCCCCTTCTCCCTTCTCCATCCCTTTTCTCTCTCCCTTACCTTTTCCGACATACCTTTCATTAAAATCCATAAAACATTCAGGAAGAGTTTCACTTAGATTAGTAAAGCCATATATTAAAGTAACGAGTATCTCCCCTTTAACATTTAGAACTTTCTCGTGTAAATATTTCATCAATATCCATCCAGTTGTTCAGGAGGAGATGCGCTTAAAATAGATACATTGATAGACAGATAGGGTGATTCTTATATGTACTTAGTTTCTAAAGAAAAGAGTTCTGTCAACTGGTCATTGAATCAGAAACAACAAGGATGTAATGTTTGAAGTGATTGCATATACTGAATATGAAAGGACTTCCAGACACTCACTAAGTATAGACCCCACAGTATACTTGTCGTATTTTGTTCTGATGGACTAGTGCTTAAAGTGAGTTGTACGGACGGATGACAATAGACATATAGCATCATATAATGATACACAGCAATGATCACATGATCACACATGGGTGCACATACCATTTATAACACCAAATATGAATTGAACTGCATTGTAATCTCATATTAACTACAAACATATTTACAGAGATAAGACATTACATCTTATTTATATACATATTTTGCATGTGAACTAAATACAAATGAACAGTTTTCTTGGTGTCCATGAAAAGTAATAATTGCCAGGGAAGTATAGGTCAAGTTTTTGTTATCAACCCTACATCAGTTTTGAAAACACAAAAAAAACGTGTCAAATTTGAATTGGGCAAAAACTGTTACCTTACGAGCCTTATATTAGTACCCAGGCATTTTCTTCTTTCCCCTTTTAATACATTCGTAAATGTATGTGTACCGATAGCGTATGGTCCAAAGAGTTCATTGGTATGCAGAATTTTGTTACAATTCGAAAAAAAAAATGTCTACTGTTGCTGCTGAAAAAAAAAAACAATTTCAAACGAATGTGGTCCTTAACCTTTTGAGGGGAGTAAAGTTACACATTCCAGACATATACTTTAATAATGATCAATAATAGTCCCAAAGATACTTAGGAGTTCCAATTCTTCTTCCACTACGTGTCTTTGTATTATCACAGACAACAAGCTCTGCTTCAAAGACGTTTTCGATTTCATTTAATTCTTCTTCGACAGAAACATGTTCTGTGTGTGTATGAATGTTCAGTTCATTGAACTTATCATTGTCCATAATATACACGGCACCAATATCTTGACCAGAAATATACATCAGGTGACAGGTGTCAGACAAACATGGTCACCTTTGGATGAATTCATAGACCAAATATCATTGACCTACCATGAATACATGTAGCAAATGAAAACCAGACTAAGCACAAAAAATAAACCTGGTCAGTAGATCATGAATATGAGGTCAGGAACAGGTGACAGGTGTCATACAGATATGTACACCTTCCAAAGATTGCATATACCAAATATCATTGACCTAGAATGTATAGTTATTAAGAAACAGACCAATCCACAAGAAACAAACATGGTCAGTGGACTATGAATATGAGGTCAGGGTCAGGTGACAGGTGTCATATCGAAATGTTCACCTTTGGATGATTTAATACACCAAATATCATTGACTACCATGTAAAGTAATTGAAAAAAAGACCTAACAACAACAACAAAACCATAAAAATAGGGCCAGGGTCGGTTGACAGGTGTCAGATGGTCATTGGATATGTTCACCCTCTGATGATGTCACGGAATGAAAAAAATGAATAAACTAGAAAATGTGTCTGTAAGACCACAGGTGTACCTCCCGTAGATTGTACTTTCCGAGATATAAACCAACAACTTAACCAGAGTCAATGAAGCATGAAATGTAGGTCAAAGTGACCTAAAAGTTACTGGACCGTGGAACACTACCTTAGACGCTTCCACAGGTTAAGTACCATTACTATACCATGTATACTCCCTGAGATATGGACCTAAACCAAGAACTTAACCAAAGTGTGACGTACGTACGTACGGATAAGGGTAACACTATATGTCACATCCACATTCGTGGTCGGGACATAAAAAAAACCTAGAAAATGTGTCTTCAAGACAACAGATGTCCCTCCCGTAAATTGTACTTTCCGAGATATGGACCTTAACCAAGAATTTAACCAGAGTCAGTGAAGCATGAAATGTTATAGGTCGAAGTGACCTGAAAGTTATTGGACCGTGGAACACTAGTGACTACCCAAGATGCTTCCACAGGTGAAGTACCATTACTATACCATGTCTTCTCTCCGATATATACATGGACCTAAACCAAGAACTTAACCAAAGTGTGACGTACGTACGGACAAGGGTAACACTATATGTCACATCCAGATTTGTGGTCGGGACATATGTATAAAAAAAGTACATTGTTCTCTTGTCTTCAAGACTTGTTCTCAATAATTATAATATTTTTTTGCACCAAACCGTAGTTATCTGAGTCTGTTTTTCCCTGTCTTGTTATCATTTTTTTAAGATGTATTCACGTAATTCAACCAACAGCAGACATGCGAAAATACTACAATAATAGTGTGGGCCGAAACAACTTAGGAAAGAGAGGATTGGAGCTGGAGGGGATTGGATTCTGACGGGTTTGAATTCGTCAATCAGTGATGTGATCGCTAAAAACTAGGGAAAACATTAAGTCTTGCTTTATGGTGTGAAATATTAACTAATCGACAACCACACTTAGTTACACGGTAGTGACCATATCGCCAATGTTGACTTGAATATATAAATATGACCACTTGGATTTCTTTATATCTGCAGAAAGACTTATGCATTTTTGGAGGCGTCTGCATTAATGCACGGTTACGTCATAAATGTGGGACTATACATTAGGTTATTTCTCTTATATTTCTGGAGCCTGAATGCCAATTTGCACATAAAAGAACGCTTGCAAAAACGTTTTGGGGTCTTAGAAGTTAAGTTGCAATGCAAACTTGCAAAGTGTACTTCGTACTTTATTTGGCCTTTTTTTAACTTTTTTTTATTCGAGCGTCACTGCGTCTTTTGTAGACGAAACGCGCGTCTGGCGTACAAAAGTACAATCCTTGTATCTATTATGAGTTTATTTAAGTAACCTGATAAATTGAACTGCCTTCAAAATGTTACCTGTAAGTAATAAGTTAAGTGCACTAATAAGGTAATATGACACAATTTATGTATGTTTATATTTATTTTCACCGAACTATGGGTTGATGAAGCTGAATTTACACTATGGGTACTTAAAGAATATACCCTGGGTACGCTGGGTACGTTTTATGTAAGGAAAAGTACCTATGATGAAATTAAAGCTGCTTAAGGTACACAGGTTAAATTCACCCCAATGTTAAAAGCGTACCCAGGTTGCTGTTTTCGGAATCTTTTGGTAATTAAGTTGATGAAGCTGAACCTGCACTTGCATCACGACAGCATTGCAGTCATGACATGCAAACGTAAACGATAATGATTTCAACTCTAAGCATTACTTGGAATCAATAAAAACTTTTAAATAAGCCAAAATTCTAATAGATTACTCATACCACATCTTCTTATATCTAATAAAGAAATTTCTGATTTTCTCCCGCTAGTCGAATTCTAAAAGATAATACAAACAAGGGGTCAATAACAAGCTTAAGAACTGTTTCACCGCATTATATGTGAATACTTGCCGAAGTTAGTTT